GACGCACAACCAGACGCACGACCAGGCGCACGACCAGACGCACCACCAGACGCACCACCAGACCAAAGCCCCCCCCCCCCCCCCCACAGAACATTGACCAGTCACGCGTTAAGGTATAATTTTCCTATCAACGAGCCTCTAAGCCTATGTTTAGTCTGTAAGCCTATGTATAATGTACATCAATGGACGCTAGAGAAGAGCAGTATAATCCCTCGGGGGTGTATGTATACTCTCACCACGCCAAGATGAAATATAATACATAATGTATTCTGGATGTATTATCAACCTCTTGTCAGCGGGACTCTTGGAGCGCAAGACTGGACTTGACGTTTGGATTTGCTTGAAAAATAAATACCCTTCGTCGCTAAATTATAAAATATATTAATATTATATTTTATTATTATTATTATTATTATTAAGGATAATGAGACTAATGATCGATCGTCTACTATTTAAGGTAATTCATTACATGTACAGGAAATTATAGCTTTTTAAACCAAGAATTTAATAGAGGAATGCGGAGGGGGGGAAGGGGGGGAGGGGAGGGGGGGGGGGGGAAGCCTTATCAAAATGTCTACCGTAAAAATGTTGGGAGAAAACGCGGACACGCGGAGATGGTAGTTTTTGTGGTCGGTGTAAGGCGATCCCCGGGCCGGCCCGCCTCTACCTGGGGCTTCCACACCCACCTGACCACATGCCTCGCACGCACGCACGCACGCGCGAACACACACACACACACACACACACACACACACACACACACACACACACACACACACACACACACACACACACACACACACACACACACACACTGTTCCTGAAGATAGTATATACCAACATAGATGGAGTGAGATAAAAAATATTGGAGTTGAAGGATATAATTCGGCTCAAAGTCCCAGACATTGTCGCATTAACAGAGACGAAACTTGAAGAAAATATTTTAAATGAGGTGGTATTCCCAAGGGGCTACTCAGTTTGGAGACGTTACAGGAAGACTAGGAAGGGAGGAGGAGGAGTGGCTGTGCTGGTGAAAGAACTCCTGAAGGTAAGAGAGTTAATACTTGCAAACCCTCGAGATATTGACATAATGGCATTGCAGGTCTGGAATCAAGATGATAAGCTGATAATTGTAAATGCCTACAGCCCACCAGCAAGCAACACTTGGACAAAGGAAGAACTGTATGACAAACAAGAGGGCCTCATAATGGTCATGAGAAAGATTATGGTAAGAGCTGACAAAGATAAATCCCGATTGTTGGTACTGGGAGACTTCAACTTTAAGGCAATAGACTGGGGCCTACGAGGCAAGAACAGAGGACAATTGGACAGGCAAGTTTGTAAACCTCATCTTGGAGACATTAAAAAATAAGCCACAAGAATGAGGGAAGGGGATGTACCGTCAGTACTGGATCTAGTATTCACCAGGAAAGAAGAGGAGGTATTTGACATCCAGTACCTGCCTCCATTGGGAAAGAGTGATCACGTCCTCTTGGACACTAAATACGCTATGCGATATAATCTAGTAGAGAATGGGGACAGTGAAACAGTTGATGAACTTTATTTCAAGAGAGGACACTATGGGGAACTTAGAACATTTCTTAATGGGAATCATTGGACAGACTTGATGCTAGGCAAAAAAGTAAATGAGATGTATGGCAAATTTTGCAAAATATACGATGAAGGCACATAAACATTCATACCAAAACAGAGATGCAGACCTGGGAAACAGGGTTGGTTCAACAGAAATTGCAAGAGGGCCAGAGATCAAAAGACACAGGCATGGAATCATTATAAGAAAAGACCAAACCACCAAACATACCAGCGATACAAAGATGCAAGAAACAACTACACGTCAGTAAGGAGAGAGGCAGAGAGGAACTTTGAGAACGGTATAGCAGACAAATGTAAATCAGATCCAGGCCTTTTCTATGAATTCATTAAAAGCAAGCTGCAGGTAAAGGATAATATTCAGAGGTTGAAAACGGGGGACAGATACACGGAAAATGAAAAGGAAATGTGTGAAACATTAAATGAAAAGTTCCAAACTGTGTTTATACAAAATGAAATCTTTAGGGAACCAGATACAATAAGAATTCCAGAGAACAACATAGAGCACATAGAGGTGTCTAGGGACGAAGTGGAGAAAATGCTCAAGGAGCTAAGTAAGAACAAAGCAGTTGGTCCAGATGGAGTTTCACCATGGGTTCTGAGAGAATGTGCACCTGAGCTCAGCATTCCACTTCAACTGATTTTTCAGGCATCCCTGTTTACAGGAGTTGTAGCTGATGTGTGGAAAAAGGCTAACATAGTTCCAGTCAACTAAAGTGGCAGCAGGGAAGACCCCCTTAATTACAGACCGGTATCATTGACAAGTGTAATAGTCAAAATATTGGAAACAATAATTAAAACTAAATGGGTAGATCGCCTGGAGAAAAACGATATAATATCAGACAGTAGGGTTTTCGATCTGGAAGATCATGTGTTTACTCTAAATTTACTTTAAATTTACTCAGTTTCTATGATCGAGCCACAGAGATTTTACAGGAAAGAGATGGTTGGTTGACTGCATCTATCTGGACCTAAAAAAGGCTTTTGACAGAGTTCCACATAAGAGGTTGTTCTGGAAACTGGAACATATTGGAGGAGTGACAGGTAAGCTACTAACATGGATGAAAAATTTCCTAACTGACAGAAAAATGAGGGCAGTGATCAGAGGCAATGTATCGGACTGGAGAAATGTCACAAGTGGAGTACCACAGGGTTCAGTTCTTGCACCGGTAATGTTCATTGTCTACATAAACGATCTACCAGATGGAATACAGAATTATGTGAACATGATGATGTTTGCTGATGATACTAAGATAATAGGGAAGATAAGAAACCTAGATGATTGTCATGCCCTTCAAGAAGACCTGGACAAAATAAGTATATGGAGCACCACTTGGCAAATGGAATTTAATGTGAATAAATGCCATATTATGGAATGTGGAATAGGAAAACATAGACAACCACACAACCTATAAATTATGTGAGAAATCTTTAAAGAATTCAGACAAAGAAAGGGATCTAGGGGTGTTTCTAGATAGAAAACTATCACCCGAGGACCACATTAAGAATATTGTGCGAGGAGCCTATGCCACGCTTTCTAACTTCAGAATTGCTTTTAAATACATTGACGGCGATATACTAAAGAAATTGTTCACGACTTTTGTTAAGCCAAAGGTAGAATATGCAGCGGTTGAGTGGTGCCCATATCTTAAGAAGCACATCAACAAACTGGAAAAGGTGCAAAGACACGCTACTAAGTGGCTCCCAGAACTGAAGGGCAAGAGCTACGAGGAAAGGTTAGAGGCATTAAATATGCCAAAACTAGAAGATAGAAGAAAAAGAGGTAATATGATCACTACGTACAAAATAGTAACAGGAATTGATAAAATCGACAGGGAAGAATTCCTGAAACCCGAACTTCAAGAACAAAAGGTCATAGATTTAAACTAACAAAACAAAGCTGCCGGATAAATATAAGAAAATTCACTTTTGTAAACAGAGTGGTAGACGGTTGGAACAAGTTAGTGGAGAAGGTGGTGGAGGCCAAGACCGTCAGTAGTTTCAAAGCGTTATATGACAAAGAGTGCTGGGAAGACGGGACACCACGAGCGTAGCTCTCATCCTGTAACTACACTTAGGTAATTACACACACACACACATGCACATCTGACCTGCTAGTGTTCTCTCCCAGACACTTTCAGACGCCAGGTGTCTGAAAGTGTGCGATATTCCCAGTGGGTCTTCCCAAGCTGATATCTTCACGTAAAGACACAAATATATCGAGTAAACAAAGATATCGACTACATAAAGCTGTCAGATCAAGGGCTTAACTACAGCAGTCACACGCAGGAATATAACTGACACATTCAAATATCAAGCTTGGAAAAACACGTTCGGGAATTTGATACACTTTTAAATATCTCGCGTCAAAAGCTATTTGAAAGATAACATAAACCAGACGGTTTACAGAGCAAGTCCAATGGAAAAAAATATATAATAATATAATTTAATACATGATTACTCTTTGTTTTTCATTTTTAAAGAAGGGAAAAAGGTGTATATATATATATATATATATATATATATATATATATATATATATATATATATATATATATATATATATATATATATATATATATATATATATTACATGATAAAATCCTTTTCATGCAATGGGGTAACTTGAAGGAGCGTTCTAGTGGTTCCTAGACACCTGCCATAACCCAGGGGGGCCGCGACAGGTGTCTGGGAGGCACCAGGGCGCCGGGTCAAGTCACCCGCGTGGCCTCAAAATGATTTTGTCATTGGCACAATGACACTGAGCAAGCAGTAAACTTTGAGTGTGTGTATACACCGAGCAGCAGGGTAACCCTCTGGCTGGGTATACACTGTTGGTCACACACGAGGCAGCTGTTATCCAACTGCCTCGTATGTGACGTGTGTCAATCATCTACATGACGCTCAGTCACTTGTGTGGCCGCTCGTTTGAGAGGCACGTGTGTCACTGGGATTCTAGACGGAGGGAGACGGCAACCCAGCAATCTTCACGTCACCTGTCTCAAGTATTACTCCCGTCTTCACCCCCACAAGTCCGGCCTCCCCCCCCCCCCCCTCACCTGTCTGGCAACACCCACACACACGAGCCCACTCTAACAAACACCGTCTTATCGTCCAAGCAAGTCACAATCACGCCCACCTCTTAATGATGGATGCAGATCTTAGCACTAACACAATTAATATTTTGCGTCTGCATCCTTATAAAAAAAATATATATATACGTTAAATAGGATTTCATTGTTTACCAACAACCTTGATGCAAATACCAGGACTAATTTAGCTCTTATTGGCGAGCGTACGAGGTTCAGAGTGTTGGGGGGGGGGGTAGGAGGGGGAGGAGGGGGAGGAGGAAGAGAAGGGGGGGATGAGGAGGAGGCTGCCATACTCACGCTGGGGATGTTGTCGGCGGAGCAGACGCCCTCTGAGAGAAGCCGGTCCCTGATCTCCCAGGCGAAGATGGAGGGACACTCTCTCTTGAACTGGGCGATCCTGGCCACCACCTCGGCCGTGGCCACCCGGGGCTTCGAACCCCCGATAGCCCGCGGCCGGATGGAGCCGGTTTCATAGTACCTGTCGAGGAAGAGAGAGAGAGAGAGGTGAGGGGAGGCTCCTCGGAGCAAGGGTCACGTATAACCAACACATTCATATCTTCTCCACAACTGTAATACAGTTTACCAACTTCACATATGTAATGTGTAGTATACATATATGTCTGTTGTCGTATGTCTGTTGTGTTTATTTGTGGGTGCTGGAGGGGAGTGTAGCCTACTTGTACACGGAGGATGCCTTACTGAAGGTCTTATGCACCACTAAATTATTTCTTAAAACGAGAGAGCTCATTTGCACAGTGGAATTGTTCCTGATATAGATGATACACACCACATAACACGATGCAGGAGATAGACAGTGATGTCTTGCCGTAACAGGAGTCTATCAAGTTGTCATTTTCTCAGCTAAATATAAAATTGTATAAATATTTCTTAAAACACATCAGGAAATGTTCTTCATGAACCAACACATGGAAGGGATTAATGATTCTAGCAGTGATTCTTGTTTCTTGTTCTTTGTCGTCTGGTGAGGAAGTTCTCCCCCCTCACCTGCTGCCTCACCCCTCACCTACTGCCTCACCCCTCACCTGCTGCCTCACCCCTCACCTACTGCCTCACCCCTCACCTGCTGCCTCACCCCTCACCTGCTGCCTCACCCCTCACCTACTGCCTCACCCCTCACCTGCTGCCTCACCCCTCACCTGCTGCCTCACCCCTCACTTACTGCCTCACCCCTCACCTGCTGCCTCACCCCTCACCTACTGCCTCACCCCTCACCTGCTGCCTCACCCCTCACCTGCTGCCTCACCCCTCACCTACTGCCTCACCCCTCACCTGCTGCCTCACCCATCACCTGCTGCCTCACTCCTCACCCTGCTGCCTCACCCCTCACCTGCTGCCTCACCCCTCACCTGCTGCCTCACCCCTCACCTGCCTCACCCCTCACCTGCTGCCTCACCCGCTGCCTCACCCGCTGCCTCACCCCTCACCAGCTGCCTCACCCCTCACCTAGTGCTTCACCCCCTCACCTAGTGCCTCACCCTTCCCTGCACCTCACCTGCTTCACCCCTCACCTGCTGCCTCACCCCTCACCTGCTGCCTCACCCCTCACCTAGTGCCTCACCCCTCACCTGCTGCCTCACCCCTCACCTGCTGCCTCACCCGCTGCCTCACCCCTCATAACTGACACGCCTCAGCCCCAATAAACTTGTGTAATAAACCCTGAAAAGCTAATGTTCCAACTGTCTTCTCGAGTGAAGAAAAGAAGAAGGTGCAGGAGGTGTTGGGGCAGACACCTGGCCTGGAGAACTGAGCCACTCACCTGCCGAGAATCTTGGAGACGCAGCCGTTGGAGACCTGGAGGATCCTGGAGATGTCGCAGGGGCGCGCGCCGGAGTGTGCGAGTTCGATGATCTTCTGGCGGGTGGTGTCCGGGAGCGGGCGGCCCGACACGAAGACTCCCCCGAGCTGGTTCACGCCGCTGTGGCCTGCACGGGAAGACGGTCTGCGGTTACGTCTCTTGTGTCAGAGCCTCGGCGTTAAGAGTAATTAGCGCCTCGCATGAATATAACGTGACGCCGAACTACTCAAGCACTCCATACACATTTTGTGGGCGTTAGTGGAAAGGTTTACAGAGGTACATTATGGGCTCAGGGAGTGAATGATAAGGGGGGTAGAAATAGCCTACACAACACTGCTCATGTATATAAGGCACACATTACTCTGCACACACACACACCACTGCACAGGTGAGTGAGGTTTAAGGTTTTGTGTTTATTCTAAAACACTTGTGAGTGGATCAGTGTTATTGTACACAATGGTTTGTTGGTGGTCCAGTATTTACACCTCAGATGTTTAGGCTGTGGTGCAGCCTTAGTGTCTCAGATGTTTAGGCTGTGGTGCAGCCTTAATGACTCAGATGTTTGGGCTGTGGTGCAGCCTTAGTGTCTCAGATGTTTAGGCTGTGGTGCAGCCTTAGTGTCTCAGATGTTTAAGCTGTGGTGCAGCCTTAATGTCTCAGATGTTTAGGCTGTGGTGCAGCCTTAATGACTCAGATGTTTGGGCTGTGGTGCAGCCTTAGTGTCTCAGATGTTTAGGCTGTGGTGCAGCCTTAGTGTCTCAGATGTTTAGGCTGTGGTGCTGCCTTAGTGTCTCAGATGTTTAGGCTGTGGTGCAGCCTTAGTGTCTCAGATGTTTAGGCTGTGGTGCAGCCTTAGTGTCTCAGATGTTTAGGCTGTGGTGCAGCCTTAGTGTCTCAGATGTTTAGGCTGTGGTGCAGCCTTAGTGTCTCAGATGTTTAGGCTGTGGTGCAGCCTTAATGTCTCAGATGTTTAGGCTGTGGTGCAGCCTTAATGACTCAGATGTTTGGGCTGTGGTGCAGCCTTAGTGTCTCAGATGTTTAGGCTGTGGTGCAGCCTTAGTGTCTCAGATGTTTAGGCTGTGGTGCAGCCTTAGTGTCTCAGATGTTTAGGCTGTGGTGCAGCCTTAATGACTCAGATGTTTGGGCTGTGGTGCAGCCTTAGTGTCTCAGATGTTTAGGCTGTGGTGCAGCCTTAATGACTCAGATGTTTAGGCTGTGGTGCAGCCTTAGTGTCTCAGATGTTTAGGCTGTGGTGCAGCCTTAATGACTCAGATGTTTAGGCTGTGGTGCAGCCTTAGTGTCTCAGATGTTTAGGCTGTGGTGCAGCCTTAGTGTCTCAGATGTTTAGGCTGTGGTGCAGCCTTAGTGTCTCAGATGTTTAGGCTGTGGTGCAGCCTTAGTGTCTCAGATGTTTAGGCTGTGGTGCAGCCTTAATGACTCAGATGTTTGGGCTGTGGTGCAGCCTTAGTGTCTCAGATGTTTAGGCTGTGGTGCAGCCTTAATGACTCAGATGTTTAGGCTGTGGTGCAGCCTTAGTGTCTCAGATGTTTAGGCTGTGGTGCAGCCTTAGTGTCTCAGATGTTTAGGCTGTGGTGCAGCCTTAATGACTCAGATGTTTAGGCTGTGGTGCAGCCTTAGTGTCTCAGATGTTTAGGCTGTGGTGCAGCCTTAGTGTCTCAGATGTTTAGGCTGTGGTGCAGCCTTAATGACTCAGATGTTTGGGCTGTGGTGCAGCCTTAGTGTCTCAGATGTTTAGGCTGTGGTGCAGCCTTAATGACTCAGATGTTTAGGCTGTGGTGCAGCCTTAATGACTCAGATGTTTGGGCTGTGGTGCAGCCTTAGTGTCTCAGATGTTTAGGCTGTGGTGCAGCCTTAATGACTCAGATGTTTGGGCTGTGGTGCAGCCTTAGTGTCTCAGATGTTTAGGCTGTGGTGCTGCCTTAGTGTCTCAGATGTTTAGGCTGTGGTGCTGCCTTAGTGTCTCAGATGTTTAGGCTGTGGTGCTGCCTTAGTGTCTCAGATGTTTAGGCTGTGGTGCTGCCTTAGTGTCTCAGATGTTTAGGCTGTGGTGCAGCCTTAGTGTCTCAGATGTTTAGGCTGTGGTGCTGCCTTAGTGTCTCAGATGTTTAGGCTGTGGTGCTGCCTTAGTGTCTCAGATGTTTAGGCTGTGGTGCTGCCTTAGTGTCTCAGATGTTTAGGCTGTGGTGCTGCCTTAGTGTCTCAGATGTTTAGGCTGTGGTGCTGCCTTAGTGTCTCAGATGTTTAGGCTGTGGTGCTGCCTTAGTGTCTCAGATGTTTAGGCTGTGGTGCTGCCTTAGTGTCTCAGATGTTTAGGCTGTGGTGCTGCCTTAGTGTCTCAGATGTTTAGGCTGTGGTGCTGCCTTAGTGTCTCAGATGTTTAGGCTGTGGTGCTGCCTTAGTGTCTCAGATGTTTAGGCTGTGATCACGTTTCAGTTGGAGGACCTGCGTAGTGAGGTCAGGTCAAGACAATACAAGCGACGGCTGTAGTCAGGTTGAGATAATAAACACAAAGGGCTAACACGACATCATACATAACCAAGATCCAAGAAACTTCACGAGCAAGAATATTATTGTCCTGGAAAGGGAAGACTAACCTGCCCTGAGGCAGCAGCTGAGAGCCACCTTGGTAGTGCTCACCAGGTCCCCCACACCTTGAGGTTATCTTGAGGTTATCTTGAGATGATTTCACCCTCACCTCACTCCTCCAAGATGTCCTCCAAGGAAGGCGGGAACACTTAGGCCACAAGCAGACAAGGAAGACGTTAGTTAGATGACACAGCACGACCCAATACTCGGGCTCTTCACGTACCACTCCGTCAAAAAGCCAACCTCTTAACCTAACTGTGTGCGGACGTACCCAGGCAACCCCCTTAACCTTTCGAGTTCGTTGCATAGCAAGCGTAGATATCTGTGAGTCGTTACCGCTGGTAGTAGGTTGTATGTGTTACGTTGGTGACCACAAGGACACGTGTGGGTGTTGGAGAGACGGTGCAAGCGTGCAACACGGGGCACAGTAGCGGCTGCCCAGTAATGGTCTTCTCCATTTCACAACGTTTGAAACACTGCTGAAGTGCAGCCCAGAGCAGAGCTCTAAATTCAACAGCAAAGAGCCAATAGAGGCGCTCTGTAGTGTGAGCGTGGTGGCAGAGCGCCGCGCTGCTATTGACCTCCGCCAAGACTGTGCCTTAAATTTGCGGGTGTTTGTTGCGTGAGTGATGAGGAGAGGAGGAGAGGCGTGGAGTGACCCATGTGACGAGCCCTTCTGAGGGAGGGCCTGCCCCCCCCCCACCCCCACCCCCGTTCTCTCAAAGGTAGATAGTAGACAATAAATGTGTCGGTTCAATCTACTTCAGTCTGGCCCTCAATTTAATCGACCTCCATCTAATGACACTACTTGAAATGTGGCCCCTCACAGGTGAGGGTCGTCACCACCAGCAGTGACGGAGTGGCCCTCCCAGCACCCCTCCCAGCACCCCTCCCAGCACCCCTCCCAGCACCCCTACTCCTGCCCCTCCCAGCACCCCTCCCAGGCCCCTCCCAGCACCCCTCTCCTGCCCCTCCCAGCACCCCTCCCAGGCCCCTCCCAGCACCCCTCCCCGCACTCCTCCCAGCACCCCTCCCAACACCCCTCCCAGCACCCCTCTCAGCACCCCTCCCAGCACCCCTACTCCTGCCCCTTCCCTCCGTGTCTCTGGTGCGTGCGTGCGTGCGCTCCCACCTGCTCCATCCATCTGTCCTGGCCAGGTGACTAACTTCGTCCCTCCTCCTGACACTTGTCCCCACAACCATCCCTCACTCTTAACTATTCCTTCTGTAACACTCCTTCACTTCTCCCATCCTGCCGTCCCTGGCTGTGCCCCTCCTGCCGTCCCTGGCTGTCCCTCCTGCCGTCCCTGGCTGACCCTCCTGCCGTACCTGGCTGTCCCTCCAGCCACCCCTGGCTGCCCCTCCAGCCTCCAGCCGTCCTGGCTGCCCCTCCAGCCACCCCTGACTGACCCTCCAGCCACCCCTGGCTGACCCTCCAGCCACCCCTGGCTGACCCTCCAGCCACCCCTGGCTGCCCCTCCAGGCACCCCTGGCTGCCCCTCCAGCCGTCCCTGGCTGTCCCTGGCTGTCCCTCCAGCCTCCAGCCGTCCTGGCTGCCCCTCCAGCCACCCCTGGCTGACCCTCCAGCCACCCCTGGCTGACCCTCCAGCCACCCCTGGCTGACCCTCCAGCCACCCCTGGCTGCCCCTCCAGCCACCCCTGGCTGCCCCTCCAGCCGTCCCTGACTGACCCTCCAGCCGTCCCTGACTGACCCTCCAGCCACCCCTGGCTGCCCCTCCAGCAACCCCTGTCTGACCCTCCAGCCACCCCTGGATGCCCCTCCAGCCACCCCTGACTGACCCTCCAGCCACCCCTGACTGACCCTCCAGCCGTCCTGGCTGCCCCTCCAGCCACCCCTGGCTGCCCCTCCAGCCGTCCCTGGCTGCCCCTCCAGCCGTCCCTGACTGACCCTCCAGCCGTCCCTGACTGACCCTCCAGCCACCCCTGGCTGTCCCTCCAGCCGTCCCTGGCTGCCCCTCCAGCCGTCCCTGGCTGCCCCTCCAGCCGTCCCTGGCTGCCCCTCCAGCCGTCCCTGGCTGCCCCTCCAGCCGTCCCTGGCTGCCCCTCCAGCCGTCCCTGACTGACCCTCCAGCCGTCCCTGACTGACCCTCCAGCCGTCCCTGACTGACCCTCCAGCCGTCCCTGACTGACCCTCCAGCCACCCCTGGCTGCCCCTCCAGCCACCCCTGGCTGCCCCTCCAGCCACCCCTGGCTGCCCCTCCAGCCGTCCCTCCAGCCACCCCTGCTGCCCCTCCAGCCGTCCCTGGCTGCCCCTCCAGCCGTCCCTGACTGACCCTCCAGCCGTCCCTGACTGACCCTCCAGCCGTCCCTGACTGACCCTCCAGCCACCCCTGGCTGACCCTCCAGCCGTCCCTGGCTGCCCCTCCAGCCACCCCTGGCTGCCCCTCCAGCCACCCCTGGCTGCCCCTCCAGCCACCCCTGGCTGCCCCTCCAGCCGTCCCTGACTGACCCTCCAGCCGTCCCTGGCTGCCCCTCCAGCCACCCCTGGCTGCCCCTCCA